TAAATCACTCAGTAGAATTCTGATGCTGTACAATTACTATAAACTCCACAAAAAGTTTCAATTGCGTTACATTTATGTGAAATTGTGTGGAATGTTCTCTTTAGAGGTAGACACATTTGTCTTCTTTCCTCGGATATTTTGATTTCACAGTCAAGTGTTCTCTGTGGAGTTGTAAATTTTCTTTCACAGTGGCTGGCGTGGGTGCATTCTCCTTCCATGGTTAGTGATTTTGCTAAACTTGCGTTGGCCTCGTCCTGACAGCATACTCCAATGAGAAGGAGAGGTCCTTGTGGCCAGCTCCCCTACCGCACTGTTTCTCTTGAAACTCAGCACTGGGAATTGTTGTTGCAAGGCCAGAAGAGAAGCTAAGTAATGTTGGGATCTGAGTTTCATGGCACTACTCTTTTGAGGTTATTGTGGTCTCTTGATACTGACAGGAACTTGTCAGTACACAATGCCACTACGCCATAGTACCCTTGGAATACTCTGACTATATTCTGCGTGTAAGCCAAAACAGAGTCAGGGAGCAATGTCAGACTGGACCAGTGGCAGCCATGGGTTGGGATGGAACTATGTATGTGCCTTTGGCTTAGATGGTCATGGCTGTCTGTGTTTATGGGGAGATTCTCAAGTTACTTTTTAGGCAGGTGCTGGTGTTCTTTATTTGGTCATATAAAAAAAAGTAGTTTGAAGATTAGTAATGTGGATGTGTTAAATTTATAGATATGTATACTTGTGTTTGTGTGTATATGTGTGTATATATGTATGTATGTGTGTGTTATATATATATGGAAAAATAGATAATACAAATTATTAAAAAACACTTAAAACAATTTTAGGTCATTCCTTCCATGTGTGTATTAAATACTCCTTTGCATTTCATATTTATCTGTGATTTTAAGAAAGTTAGGTAAAATAACTCTTTTCTACTAGATATTTAAAATATTTTGCTATGTGTGGTGGCTCATGCCTGTAATCTCAGCATTTTGGGAGGCTAAGGTGGGTGGATTGCTTGAACCCAGGAGTTTGAGACCAGCCTGGGCAACATAGTGAGATCTTGTCTCTAAAAAAAAAAATACAAAAATTAGATGGACATGGCAGTGCATGCCCAGAGTTCACTACTTGGGAGGCTGAGGTGGGAGGATCGCTTGAGCCTGAGAGGTAGAGGCTGCAGTCAGCCATATTTGTGCCACTGCATTCCAGCCTGGGTGACACAATGAGACTCTGTTTTTTGAACTTTATTCTGTTTTGCAAGCTCAGAAACATTCAGTTCACCCTTCATTTCCTGTAGAATGTTTCATCATATCACTTTAAACCATGACTCTTCAAAATTCCTTTCCATCTTGAACATAGTGTGTATTCTAAGCTAGATAGTGAGGCCACAGAGGAAAAGTCACATTATCTCCCTGAAGTCAAAGGCAACATGCAGGGCATGTGAGGGGAGCAGCCAGGAGCAGGAATGCATTGACTTGGGGTAAAGCAACCTAAACAATGTTGACCTTCAAACACAGCAGTGGTGACTCGGTATAATGGTTTATCTCCAAAATCCGTGGAAGCTGGCATAGAAGTTAATGTCAGGGAGAAACTTTTTTTTTCCCTTTCAAATAAATTTTGTTATTCCGCTAATAGAGTAAATCATATTCATCATAGAAAAATTTTAAAAAGCAATAGGGTGGCAAACATGCCCCATACACTGTGAGAAACAACCACCGTTTACACTGTGGTATATTTTACTGCCTCTCATTTTCCCTCCTTTGGATTATGATTGGTTTTCTAGCTGTCTCCCATACTGATGAATGGTTTCTCATGTCATTAAATACTTGAAATTCTGATGGCTAATAACTGCATATTTGTTCCATGTATAAATAACTTTGGTTATTTGTCCAAAGGGTAACTTCTTTTGACTTTTAAAAATAGTTGCAAATTTTGTTATACAATAATGCAAAATTTTGAGCAAGGCATGCTTTGTATTGTGTCTACCTATTTCTTTCTAATATCTCCTCTTATACTGACATACCACACAAATAATACCTTCATGGGCAACCTCTGCATGTTCGCATCTTCCAGAACCATGTGAAACAAAAATCAAGCCTTTCTCCTGAACTCATCTGAGACTTTGATTTCAGGAATTTCCTCAGAAAGCCTACTCTTTCCTGGATATTTGCATTTCAAAAAAGACACTGAAAATGTGGAGAAGTGAATTTCTCATTGAATTTCATTTAGTGTGTCCCCAGCATATGTGTTGCATCCATTGGAGGAACTATACTACTCTGTCAATATTTGGAGGCTGTAATTATTTCCCAATTATTTCATAATTTTGAGGAGGGTCTCCCTAGTAACGTCAGTTCCTTTAGTGAATGTCCTGGGGGGAAACCTTTTTGTATTTGTGCTTAAAACCTTTATTTATTAGCACAATTCTTGGTGTATTGAAAATATTAATGATGATGATACTTTTAAGAGAAGCTTACTTAATTTTAATGGTTAGTAGGAACCTTAAATCTGAGATCAAAGAATATAGTTGTAGCAATGAAGGAATGATTCTTCTAACAATACTCCCCAGGCAGAAGTCACTGGAGGCTGATATGAGGCAAATATGCCTGTTGAACCAGAGGTTTAGTGGCATGGAGCAGAATGATTAGGCTTAAGTTTGGGGTTAGAACATTTTGAGTACATTAGGTAAATTTTGAGATAATGGACCTCAGAGTGATAATGTTGTCAGAATTTCTAATTATCTTGGTGTTCTTTTCTGTTGAACCATGCCCAACCAAGCAGATAATCCTGGTCATCAGAATTACACTTCCATGAATGGAAGATGAATAATTTTCTCTTTTAACTAACAGAGATAGGATTAAGCCCTGGGATTACATGCCTTTGCCACCACTGTTCTTCCTTCTAAATTGTTCTTGTTCTCTTCTCCTGACAAAGTCTGAGTCATCCTATGAGATCCAATTCAAATATTTTTTTAAATGCTTACTCATGGCTCTACGGCTTCCTCTGTATACCCCGAGACTTTTTCTTTAGTGCTTTCACAGCGTTCTTACTGTGAGGTATCTAGATCATTAGAGATCATGAATACGTGGATCGTTGGCTATTTATGATCTCTCATGATCACAGTGTAGCCATTATATTGGCACCTAATGTCCTTGCACCCCCACTCAACTATGAATTGGGCAAGCATACGGGCCAGATTCTACTTTGCTTTGCATTTCAGACATTTAGTCACAATCCATTGTTCATAATAAGTACACAACAAATTTTATCAAGTGAACGAAGTTGTGTTGCAAGTTATTGACAATGCCAATAAAACCAAGAGCAATGATAGTTTTATTATGTTGTCTTTCTTTGGCTATCTTGACCAAAATACATAAACAAAGTGGGGTTTTGAGCCTCAGCCAATGACACCTACAAGGCTCTGGTTTTCTTGATTTCCATTCTTTGCCTTAGATTACACCTCTTAAACCATAGGGGTCCATTTTCTGTGTTCCCGAACATACTGAGCATATTCCTGCCACAGAGCCCTTTACTCTTTTGGTTTTCTCTACCTGGAATAATTTTCTTTCTGCTATTTGTATAACTCAATTCATCAGGGCAAACTTCTCCACTGCATTACTCTACCCTCATTTATAACACTTAACGCTATTTCACATTATGACACACATTTTAAAATTTATGTATATATTGTTGGCATGGGCTTTGTCTTATTCATTGCTCTACCCCTAGCAATGTTGTAAAAGTGATTCAATGGAAGAAGAATGGACTTCTCAACAAATAGTGCTCAAGCAACTGGACATCCAAAGGCAAATAAATGAAACTCAAAATAAGCCTCAAAAATCAACTCAGAATAGGTCATGAAAAATAGAACATTCAAATCTGTCTCACTCTCAGAAGAAACATAGATAAAATATTTGGATCTTAGGGGTAGGCAAAGAATTCATAGACCTGAAACCGAAAGAACAGTTAATGCAAGGAAAAATTGAGAAATGGGACCACATCAAAGTTAAAAACTTTTGCTTTGTGAAAGATCCCACAAAGAGGATAAGGAGATAAGATACGGATTGGGAGAAAATATCTGTGACTCATCTGTCTGACAAGTGCCTTGTATCTTTTCCAGACTATGGAAGAAACTCTGAAAATAGTACAAACCCCTCGAACAATACAATTAGAAAATGAACAAAAGATAGGAATAGACATTTCATTGGAGAAGATATACAGACGGCAGGTAAAAAGGTGATTAACACCATTAAACACCTACATTAGTGAAATGCAAATTAAAATCATAAAGAAATATCATTACACAACTATTAAAGGTAAAATATAGTGATTACACCAAATACTGATGAGGATGAGGAGAGGATGAAAAGAAACTGACTATTTATACATTGCTGCTGGGAATGTCAAATGGTGCATCCACTCTAGTATTCATAAATAGTTTGGCAGCTTTCTGGAAAAAAAGCAAACAAATATGCACTTTTATAACCTAGCAGTTGCACTCTTGGACATTTATTCCTGAAAAATGAAAAATTATGTTCATACAATAACCTGCATGTAAATGTTTATAACAACTTTATTTGCGATAGCCCCAAACGGAAATAACCCAATGTATTTTTGTTTTTTTGGAGACAGGGTTCTCACTCTGTTGTTCAGGTGAAAGCACAGTGGCACAGTCATAGCTCACTGCAGCATCAACCTCCCACCTCAGCCTCTCAAGTAGCTGGAACTAAGGTGTGTGCTACCATGCCCAGCGAATTAAAACAAAATTTTTTTTTTTTAGAGACAGGGTCTCACTATATCATCCAGGCTGGTGTTAAATTTCTGGACTCAACCAATTCTCCCACTTTGGCCTCCCAGAGTGTTGGGATTACAGGTGTGAGCTACTGCACTTGGCAAGTTCTATATCTGAATGATGGTAGTGATTACATGAATTTACATGTGATAAAATTGTGTATAACGGTTCACACATACATACACCAGTGAGTGCATGTGAAAGTGGTAAAACCAGAATGAACTGTGAGTTTCGATTTCCTGGTTTTGGTACTGTCACTTTAGATATATGAGATGTAACCATTAGGGAAAACTGAGTACAGTACATGTTTCGAACTGTGAGTTTCGATTTCCTGGTTTTGGTATTGTCATTTTAGATATATGAGATGTAACCATTAGGGAAAACTGAGTACAGTACATGGAAACTCCTACATTTTTTTGCAACTTCTCATGAATCCAAAATCGTTTCAAAATTCTATTAAGCCTTCTTATCCACACACAGTTTGTTTCATATGCAAATATGTTATCTTGGAAACAGGTGCAGAGATCAACAAGAGTCTCTTAGCCCTGAGGGAGTGCATCAGGGCCCTGGGACAGAACAAGGCTCACACCCCATTCCGTGAGAGCAAGCTGACACAGGTGCTGAGAGACTCCTTCATCGGGGAGAACTCTAGGACTTGCACGATTGCCATGATCTCACCGGGCATAAGCTCCTGTGACTATACTTTAAACACACTGAGATATGCAGACAGGGTCAAGGAGCTAAGCCCCCACAGTGGGCCCAGTGGAGAACAGTCGATTCAAATGGAAATAGAAGAGATGGAAGCCTGCTCTAACGGGACACTGATTCCAGGCAATTTATCCAAGGAAGAAGAACAACTGTCTTCCCAGTTGTCCAGTTTTAATGAAGCCATGACTCAGATCAGGGAGCTGGAGGAGAGGGCCGTGGAAGAGCTCAAGGAGATCATACAGCAAGGACCAGGCTGGCTTGAGCTCTCTGAGATGACTGAGCAGCCGGACTATGACCTGGAGAATTTTGTAAACAAAGCGGAATCTGCTCTGGCCCAGCAAGCCAAACACTTCTCAGCCCTGCAAGATGTCATCAAGGCCTTGCGCCTGGCCATGCAGCTGGAAGAGCAGGCTAGCAGACAAATAAGCCGTAAGAAACGGCCCCAGTGATGACCGCAAATAAAGAACTGTTTGGTTTGACACACAGCCTCTTCCCAACCCTCCCCAGAGAACTTTGGGCACCTCGTGGGTCTAGGCAGGGTCTTACCTGGGACAACTTCTGGCAAATGCTAAGTATGGGGGCATCTGGGCCCAGGGCAGTTGGGGAGAGGGTCAGCGTGCCATGGGACACTCCTTTCCTTTTCCACAGTTGTCACCCTCAAGGGAGGAAGGAGCTCTTAGTCACCTTTTCATGTTGCCCTTCTTTCCATCGTGGGGAATGCTCTCAGCATAGAGCCTTCTCAGCAGTGGACTGGCTGCTGGTGGAGGGCTCCCTGGGGTTGTCCTGGCTCTGGGGAGAGAAACGGAGCCTTTAGTCCAGCGCTCTGCTGGCTCTAAACCTTCTACACCTTTGGTCTACACCTTTGGCACTGTATGTCTTGTACTTTAAAAATATTTTTCTGAGACCTCTTTCTACCTTACTGTCTTCCTACAGATCCAAGAGGATCCCTATTGTTTTGTTTTATGTGTTTATACATTGTAACAATAAAGAGAAAAAAATGAAAAACAAAAAACAAACAAAAAAAAACCACTTTTTTTGCATATCTCTTTGAACCCTTCCAGGTATTTACCCAAATGAAACTCCACACCTATTAAGCATTAACTCCCATTCCCCTCTCCCTCCAGCTCCTGGCAACTACCATTCTACTTTCTGTCTCTATGATTTTGACCTGAGTAGATACCTCACAGAAGCGGCATCGTACAATGTTTGTTCTTTTGTCTGACAGTGTTTCTTGTATTGAACTATGTGGGGTATAAAAGAAGCATGTAATTCCTCTTTGAGATAATACTTTAGAATTAAATCCGAAGAAAAGGGAATTCCTCATATCCTGACTTTTCTATAATCTGCAAAGAGTTTGAACCTATTGATACAGAGATAGCCTGGAATAACTACTCAAATTGAAAATAAACATGCTGTAAGAATTGTTTTCATTCAGTATTATTTGAAGAGGAGAAGTAACTATTGGACCTTTTGTTTTCCATATCCTGAATTAGACCCTTCAAAGGGTGGAAATTCAAATAACAGAAAACAGCAGCCCCTTTCCTTAAACAAGGTGGATGTTCTGTCCTCAATAGGAAGAATCTTGGGTCAAATAACCTTCCAATTTCTATGAGAAGAGGACTGTAGTGTGTATCAAAGAGTATTATTTCTAATTTAGAGACAATGAACTGAAGACAGAGGAATTTGCTTATCAATGAGTTGAAAACATTTTGTTTTAAAGAATAGAGATAGAGTCTCCCTAATGTTGACCAGGCTGGCCTCCAATTCCCTGCCTCAAGTGATTCTCCCGCCACAGCCTCCCAAAGTGTTGGGATTACAGGCATGAGTCACCGTGCCTGGTCTAATTAGTTTTTAAAGGTGTTGCAGAGACCCAGAGGATGAGCACATTTTTGCAAAATAGCATCTGTCTTTATAAGAAAGAGAAACTTTCTTAATTGCATTAATTTTCCAAATCTTCTGCAACAAATTACCACAACTGGGAGGCTTAAGACAACAGAAATGTATTCTCACAGTTCTGGAAGCCAGAAGTTTGAAATCAAGGTATTAGCTGGACTTTGCCCCCTGAGAAGTTTCTGAGGAATAAAAACCATCCCCTGTGCCTGTGCTGGCTTCTGGCGATTCCCAGCAGCCCCTGGTGTTCTTCTCTCTGTGTCTTGTCTCCTTTGAGGACTCCAGGCATTGGATTAGGGCCCACCTTAAACCCACATGACTCACATTTTGTTTTGAGACGGAGTTTTGTTCTTGTTGCCCAGGCTGGAGTGTAATGACACAGTCATGGCTCACTGCAACCTCATCTCCTGGGTTCAAGTGATTCTCCTGCCTCAGCCTCCCAAGTAGCTGGGATTACAGGCACACACCACCATACCCAGCTAAGTTTTTGTATTTATTAGAGACGAGCTTTCTCCATTTTGGTCAGGCTAGTCTCAAACTCCTGACCTCAGGTGATCCACCCACCTGGGTCTTTTAAAATGCTGGGATTACAGTCTTGAGCCACCTCGCCGAGCCTCTATGATCTCATTTTAACTTAATGACATCTGCAGTTACCCTGTTTTCAAATACAGCCATATTCTGAGTTACTGGAGCTTAAGACTTGAATATATCTTTTTTGAGAACAAGTCAACACACAATGGCTGTCACTGTTTACTTTAGAAAAATAATAAGGACGAGAGCTTGTAGCATCCTTGAGGCAATAAAGGTCTATTTGCTGAGCTGTTATCTTAGAAAAGATGCATGTCTGTCCACATGGAAAGTATTGGTGGCTACTTGCTGGTTTTGGGGAATAGTAAGGAAGATAACAGTCAACATCCCATCCTTGGGAAGGAAGGAAAGCATCTATGTTGTCAGGATTCTTTCCAGTTATCTCTGCTACAATACCTTTTACCCAGTTCACATAGCCTGTGAGTAACAGTGTCAAAAGACTCAGCACTTCTGTGATTCAAATTCAGCAGCTTCAACTGGACTAAAGGTCAATTTCTCCCTCTGTAGACCAATGTGTGGATGTGACAATCCAATCAGTATCATTGGTTACTTTGTTTTAGAGCCAATATAGGCGTTCTTTTTAAGCAAACATCATTGGTAAAGTAAAAATAATAGGGATAAAACATGTCTTATACCATGATACTTTTAACTGGGGCAGGAAATCAAATCAAGAGCCCACAGCACATTCCTTCTGGAAAATCTGCTAAAGGAAGGAAGTTCCCTGAGGGATTTTTGATCCTCCTGCACAGGACTTTGTTTTGAGAGGGTCATTCAAAAAAAAAATCTGTACAAAATGCCATACAGGGCAGTCATGACACGCTTGGGGAAAATTTATAATGTTGCAGCATTATGATGGAAGATACAGGATCCTCTGAACTCGGTGAATAAGAAGAGTCACATTAGGAAAGAGCAGGTGTGCTCAGTTTCAGGATTAGAAAAAGTTAGTAGTGGTAAGGAATGATGTAATTCAAAAGCTCTGAGCACAGGATCATCTCTCTTTCCAACCATAAAAAAAAAAAAAAAATAGGACGGAGCAGGGCAATAGGTTTTTTCTTTTTCTGTTTGTTTTGAGACAGTATCACTCTGTTGCTCAGGCTGGAGTGCAGTGGTGTGATCTTGGCTCACTGCAACCTCTGCCTCCTGGGTTCAAACAATTCTTATGCCTCTCAGCCTCCTAAGTAACTGGGATTATAGGTGCACGCCACCATACCTGGCTAATTTTGGTATTTTCAGTAGAGATAGGGTTTTGCCATGTTGGCCAGGCTGATCTTGAACTCCTGATCTCAAGCGATAGGCCCACCTTGGCCTCCCAAAGTGCTGGGATTATAGGTGTGAGCTACCATGCCAGGCCAAGGTATTTTTGTTTTCAGAACAATTTCTTTCTTATTATCTTTTAGGAACCCAGGAACCCAAGAGTTCGAGTCCCTGTTGGTTTTCCTGTTGTTATTTAGTGGTCTGTACAATGAATGCATTACTCTCATTAAAGGAAAAAAAGTGGAATTAACAGCTTTGTGAGGTTACGAGATCGGAAAATTAGAGATGCTGCTAAAAGCTGCTATTCTTAGCCCAAAGGAATAGGTTCTGAAAGTTGTTGTAGATGGTGAATACAAGGTGTTGATGAAGTGAGGGCCTTGGTTCTATTCCGCCCTCAGTCTCATTCCCACTCTGGGGCTTGGCATTGGCTATTCTTGCTATTCCATACCATCAGTCATTCTGCAAATGTTTGCAAGTGATCACCGGGCACACGGCTAGATGGTGCGGTGACAGATGACAGAACTGTTGTGGCCTGTTTTTCTAGAAACCTTAGTTGGACCTATGTATAACTTCATGGAAGCACAAATAGTGCCTAACAATTTCCAGTATTAAAAGTCTGCCCAAAATGAATGGAGTATTTTCTCTATGGAATCTATTAATTTCTATTTTTTTCTTTCATTTTTGAGACAGGGTCTCACTTCATCACCCAGGCTTGAGCGTAGTGGCACAATCTCAGCTCACTGCAGCCTCCGCCTCCTGGGCTTGAGCTGTCCTCCTCCTCAGCTTCCTGTGTAGCTGGGACTACAGGTGTGTGCCAGCACACCTGGCCAATTTTTGTATTTTTTGTAGAGATTGGGTTTCACCATGTTGCTCAGACTGGTCTTGAATTCAGCTCAAATGATCCAAGTGCTGGGATTACAAGTGTGAGCCACCAGTCCTGGCTTAAGCATCTCATTAAAAAAAATCACCACTCAATGAGTGCCAGATAGGGTCTATTTTTCTGTAAATAAGAAAATAAAAAATATGAATAATGAATTATACTTGCTCTTGAATATAGGCAGTGCTTCCCTCTTAGTTTGGAGAGAGGAGGAGAATGTAAAGAAAGAAACTCCATATAAAAGCTCAGCAGCCTGGGCATACCTTGCTCACCAAAGAGATTCCAACCTAACTCCTCCTCCTCCAAGGTGACTACCCTTAGAATCAATCATTGTCGTTTAGCACCACCATCATTCATGGGGATTTGTTGAATCCTTTTCTGTTACAGGGGAAGAAAAAAAATATTGAGGTCATATACTTGCTGCAGTCCACAATCCTTCTAAGAGAACAGAATTCTGACCATTTCATCCCTGGGATTGGCTTTGAGTCCTAGTAGCGTGAAGCATTGCATTTACCTGATAAGGATATATTTTCATATACTTGCATAATAACAATACAAACAATAAAACACGTTTGTTTTCCAACTAGGGCTTTTGTAAACAGAGACTCCTTTCTAGACTGAACATTCACCAGTGATTGATCAAAGTTGTCTTCGGGTAGAATTGTGCATGAAGCCACGGGCTCCTGCCCTGGCCCTCAACTTTCTGTTGTATTCTGGAAAGCATTTCTCTTCTCTCTTTCTTCTCTGCCAAATATTTCTTTTTTTCTTCTCTCTTTCTCTTTCTTCCCTCCCTCCCTCCTTTCTTTTTCCTTCCTTCCTCTTTCCCTTCCTTCCTTCCTTCCTTCCTTCCTTCCTTCCTTCCTTCCTTCCTTCCTTCCTTCCTTCCTTCCTCTCTCTTTCTTTCCTTTCTTTTTTTTTTCTTTCTTTCTCCCCCTCCCCTCCTTTCCCTTTTCCTCCCCTCCCCTTCCCTCCCCTTCCCTTTTGACAGAGGCTTGCTCTGTTGCCAGGCTGGAGTGCAGTGGTGCGATCTTGGCTCACTGCAACCTCCACCTCTCAGGTTCAAATGATTCTCCTGCCTCAGCCTCCCGAATAGCTGGGATTACAGGCATGCACCACCATGCCCAGCTATTTTTTGTATTTTTAGTAGAAACAGGGTTTCACCATGTTGACCAGGATGGTCTCGATATCTTGACATCCTGATCCACCCACCTCAACCTCCCAAAGTGCTGGGATTACAGGCTTTAGCCACCGTGCACAGCCTGCCAAAGATTTCTGATAGGTTATTTATAGCTTAAGGTGAACAAACCAATGTATTATCTCTTTCATTCTATCTTTTCTTTCCTTCAAGCTGTACAATTCAGATACACAAATACAATGGTCAGGT